ATTTCCTTAGGGATTAATAAAGTATTCTGATTCTGACTCTGATTGTTTCAGGATGACCTGCCATTATCCAATGACACATCTGCTTACCTGCATCTTTTGCTTGTTTCTCCTCCTCTTCTTTTCTAATTTTTCTAAACTGAGCACCTGATGGCTTTGAACTTTTCTTGTCCATCTTCCACCTTCTACCTACAACAGTATGAGGTTCAGTATCCTGGAGCTAGAAGTGCTAGATGTGAGACAGGGTGTCAAACTGAACGACAGCATATTGACACAGACAGACATGGCCTGCAGGATCCTGACGGACAGGCAGATATCCAGCCAGAGACATACCTTGCTCCTTTATCCACCAATCAAGATGAGGTGATGAGGAACTCCTCATTACGACGAGGAAGATTAGGCAATTCATGATTCATTTATCTCCTCCCCGTTCTTGCAGTTCCTCCAGATCTTTAATTTGCACTCTCATCTGATGAAATCAAATCCTCCATTCCTCAAACGCATCTGCAACATGAGCACTTCCCAGTGATTGACTCAGCAACCTGTAAATCACCCTCTCAGCTCCCACAGATTAGTCGTCATTCTGGTACAATTCCTGCTGCCAGCCCTCCTTCACAGAATTCATCAATATTAGATGCTGCAGTTTCTTCAAGTGGTTTGCCTAGACCAGTTTTTCCTACACAAGATGACACTCCCTTTAACTTCCCAGCCACACTGCTGCAGGATCCTCACCAGATCCCCTGTGTTCAACCTGCTGTTCCATTAGATGAAGACCCCGCTCAACCTTTCATTTGCATTCCAGAATAAAAGCAGCACCCTCCTTTAAAGCAGCAACCAGCTACATCTATGGTTTGCATGCACAGAAACCTTCGGTACCCATTACTGCTAGTTCTAGTCACCCTGTTACTACCAGAACACATGTATATAAGCTTGAGGGTCCTTCTTTCCCAGACCTTACCAGAGAAGATGAAATGCAATACAGTATGTTACGGATGGCCCTTACCAACCTTCTTGACCCGCATGAGACAGAGCACTTCAAATATCATGTCCTTCTCGATCATCTGAAAGTACACCAAGCTAAACGATTAGCTCTTGCCTTTTTCTATGCTCCTGACCCATATACTCAAGCCATCAAAGCCCTCGATGAGCATTATGGGCAACCCAGACAATTAGCATTGAAAGAACTACGGAATACACTAGAGCTTCCTCCTATCAGAACAGGCGATGGTCGGACTCTGGATAACTTCGCTCTTCGTGTACAAGCTCTAGTTGGTTTGCTTAGCACTATGGGTGATCAAGGACAGAACTACATTGTGGGTCCCATGTTGATCGCCTGCTTGAAAAGCTGCCTGCAGAGCATTCTAGTCGCTTTAAACGGCATGTTTATTTGCCACCAGGATGTTCTCATCCTGGTGGCAAATAGAGTGCAGGTGTCAACCAAGAAAGGACCGTCCTGTTTCATCCTTCAACCAGCCATGACCTGCCTGTAAGTATTCATCTCCACTCACAACAATTCTACATCAAATACATCTGATGATCCGGTACAGCCAGCACAACCCATCATAACGGTGTGTTCACACCGAACGCGATAGACGCGAACCTAGCGTCACGTTTACATGTAAAGTCAATGGAACCGCAAAAATTCGGAAGCAGATTTGCGTCGCGAAAACGCCTGAAACGCGTGTCAGTCTAGCACGTTTGGCGCGTTTGTCTCACGAAAAAAACCACGCGCGTGAGTTTTTGTGTTGCATTTTGTGCATACGCGCGTTATGCGTCTACCGCTCAAGTTGGAAAAATCTGAACTCCAGCGTCAAATCGCGCCGCGACAACCAATCAGGAGCCTGGTGACGTGGCTCTGACCTAGGTCAAAGGGGCAGATCCAGCCAAAGCCCTTCATTCTTCAATGGAGGGAAGGCTAATCAACGCCGTAGCAAACAACCTGGAGCTGTACGACACCAACTGCTTTCTGTACCGAGACAGGAATATAAAGGACCGAGCTTGGAGGAAGATATGTAAAGAGATCTGGCAACCTGGTAAGTTCATTCATTTCTCTATTGAAAGTTTTCGCTAACCCGGGGAAGCCGCACAAAAGCTAGCAAGCCACCGCTATTTTCCCACTGACGTACAAATACCGTTCTGCTTTTATGCATGTTGTCATATAGGAATATATTTTCTTCATTAATAAACAGCACACAGTGGTCCCGCTGTTCATCCGTCACTGCTTTGCTTTTTCGCTGATTTTCTTTTTCTTTTCTTTTTTTTTGCACCGTACAGCATTGCATTCTGCAGCCTGATTGACAAATCTCCTCCGTGTCGTGTCTCCTGCGCTTGCCAAATTTATCATGTTTGGTTTTGATAACCATCACGTCCAATAGAAAAAACAGCACAAAAACACCCAAAACTATGACCCTCATTCGGAAATAGACACCTTCACCGCGAGGGAAAAAGGCGCACGAAAGTGGCAGCCAGATGAAGACAAAATGCGGCATAATAATACTTTTACGTTTTGCACTTTGAGAATCAATTGTGAGAACTGTGACCAATGTTCATGTGTGTGGGGAAAACAGTGTATAAAGTGCGTGGCCAGGGGCTAGTTATTCTGAGAACCCCTGCTGCAATAAATGAGGGACCACTGTATATACCTTCTCTGATTATTATATTCAACCTGTTAACATTTAATATTGTCTTGATAGAGCCAACTGATTCTGCAGCAGAGCATCCCCTGTAGCTTCTCCTGGCTCCCCAGTCCCTGAGCTCCTGCTTCTGCACCCACAGGTATGTACAGCAAGCACTGATACCTTTTTAGTCGGTGGGATTGCCTTGTGATCACCTTTACTAAATATCTACAACCAATCTGATTATATCCTGTTTTGTTTTTTTTCAATGTTGAAATTAAAATCTAATAGCAGCCTTCTCATTTCTTTGTGTTTTGTGCTGTTCTGCAGGCCCAGAGAGGAGGACAGCTCCGAAGCAGATGAGGGACGGGTCCCAGGATGGTCCATCGGTGGTGGAGCTGGCCATCCTGGTGTCCCTGAAGAGTCCACACCAGTCTCCAATGGAGCATTTCCTCCTCAGCCTTGTTCCTGCTCTGGAGAGCAGCTGGGTCCTTTTTATTCCTGTCTCTCTGTAAATA